ATAATAAAAATCTTTAAACCTATGATATTAACACTTTTTTTGTTTATAAAATAGTTAACAAAAACAACTTCTTAATTTGATTTTATTAATTTTTAAAGTTATTGGTAGTTGCTTAATTCGATCCTCCTATATAAAAAGCTCCTTTCAAGAATACTCCTATGTGATACAGTAAACTCAAAAGAGGGCCGTACCAATTTTGGAAAACAGCAAGAACAACGGTGATCTTGACTGGGAGATGATGAGGGAAATTAAGAAAGAAGGAAAATCATCATCAAAGCTTTACACAGGCCTGCTTCTCTGGAAAGGTGTTTTTGGTTGGATGGTGGGTTTAGGTCCCCACAGACATTATGCTTAAGTTTGCTTTTAGGTGGATATGACTCACCTTTTATCTCCCTTTTTTCTCGTTTTCCTTTTGTTAAGAGATTCTTTGGTTTGAGTTTTAGAGAGTTGAGGTTAGTTTTCTTTGAAGGATAGGTTGATTGATACAATTTCTTAATGTTACAAAGAATTAATTTTTCATGTATGCTCTATTGTTAAATATGTCTTTGACTAAAATAAAAAAGATGAACTTTGTTCGTCTTATATAAAATGATTTGCAATTTCTTTTGACTCGTAAATAAGAAGAGGAAGAAGAAGAATTAATGTCAACCATAAAGTGGCCTTTCATGGAAGCTAGGAAAACATTTGATCCTTGATGTCAACATTTACATCTTCATAATCTATATACAAGAGATTTCTAAATTATAAATATTATATTCAATCAATGACAATAAAAATGTATTATAATTTAAAATCAAAATGACTATTTTACTACATGTTACAAAATCAGATGTTGAAATAGGTAATTGTATATTGGGTTGATGTGATTTCCTTAATTATTACTCTAAAGAATACAAAATGTGTGATGTCTTAAACATTATTGAAGAAAATTAAGAATGTTAAAGCAATAGGTGATGGAAATTGGAAAGGATGGTTGATAGCTAAGAGGGGGACAATGCATGCCCTAAGATGATTATAATCCTAAGCTTTATGCCTCTTCTGTTTTCCAACATATAGGTCATCATCATTATCAACCCATATGAGGCAAATAAATAAATCAATATATATATTTTTTGAATTTATAATTAGAGTATCTCTTATTAAATTTCATGTACTTAGAGATAATATTTTATTAGATAATTTGAAAAACGTATCCTTTTATGAACTTAATGCATCTAAAAAAATTAGTATTTATTTGAGTGTTAACCTTAAAACTTAAATTTTAAATATGTCAATGACTTATTTATTAGTGAATCTAATCCCTTAAAGTTATGAAGTAAATATAATTAAATGAGGAAATCGTAAAAGCAACAGGATCAATTAAGATAATCCTCCACTCTTGAGTGTCCTAATCTGTAAAATAAATAAATTGGGTTCTTTATCATGTGGTCCAGAACCGAACTACAGAATGGGGACGAGGGGGGAACATGTTGTGTGGAAACTTAATAGTAGACCCAAAAAAGCACTGAAAGATACGAAAAAACGCTAAAAAGTGGAAATTAATATTCAGACCAAACAGCATACTTAGCTGGATAAACTGCTTGTGTCCCCCTGCAATCACTATACTCCCCATTCTTAAATAAAAAAATTACTATAGTTACCATGTGACATTATCAAAGTATGACATAATATATTATTATATAATTAATTTTTATTTAAAAATTTATTTATAATTTTATATATTTATTTATTTTATATTATATTATACTTATTTAATATTATATCATAATTATAAATTCATAATTTTATGTAATGTTATAACTATAACACTACTTATTCTTACATTTAAATCCCTTTTATATTTCTAAAGACTCAACTTTTTTTAAAAAAAATTTTTAATCAGATAAGGATTCAACTTTTCAAATCAATTGTCTATTTATACTATATATTCTTCTAATATATAACTCATCATCAAATATAGCTATGCTTGTCTGCATGTGCACGCGTGTTTTGAGTTTGTAAATCACATGGCGTAGCGCATGATTGGAACTGTGATAGTGGCAGTGTTTCGAAACCTCAAACATGAACAATGTTGATTGATGCTTTAGGTTAGGCCCAGAAAATAAACCAAGGTCGAAGGTGGCACATTCTCAGAAGAAATCCAGTCTCTCGTCATATCAGAGAGCACCAAACAACCACCGTGATTGGCGTCTATGTTATGGACGAAAGTTTATAATGCAGGCAAAACCTATAAATATTTTATTATTTTAAAATTAAAATATTTATTTTTTATTTAACAATTTTAGAATAACACTATCATTATTTTTGAGATAAGAAATTTAAACTTCTTGATAATACTGAAAAATAAATCTAACACTAAATAAGGAATTTACATTTTCATATATATATATAAAGCATACTAATACCACAAAATTTGTTCATTATCTAAAGGTCATCAAATGATTTGGCGATTTCATGTGCATTCCACATCAATATCCGTACGATTTGTATAAGTGAATGCTAAGAACAATCAAGTAGTCACATGCATAGAAAGAAGACAAAGGGAATCAATCACCTAAATGCAGCTTGATGGATGTCGGTAAGAGGAATATGAACATTTGATAAAAATTGATGTAATGAATGATGCATGAACTCGTCAATGCAAGAATCTAGACATCATGGGATTTCTACACTGTATACTTACCATATAATTGTGATTTCAGCTGCCTGTTATCACGAACCATTTTGGTGTTTCATGTGCTCGTTTCTTCGAGCTGTTGGGTGCTACATGCATGCATGAAACTATATTTGCAAAATAGATCAACCATATAGGGGAGGATCGTTTCCATGCATCTAAGGTTGGAAGTATATATATATATACATGACTCTAGATAGTTTGACATACAAAAAGACCAGGGTCAAGGATTAACAATGCTAATAACATCATAATTAATCATAAAATCGCTCGGAAAAGGGAGAGACAGAGAGAGAACAGTCCATGCATATCCATTCTATGTTCCCAAATGCACATGCAACAGCTATATCTCACACCCGAAATATCTCATATGGAGATTGCACATGTGCTTCATGCTAAAAAATGCTAATGCGAGAGTATGCAAGCGCAACATAATTAAGTTCACTTCCATGAAGAATTAAAGCAATACCAAAGAAGAATAATATTGTAAAAATTTACCAGCGAGCATAGAAGCTGAATTTGGACATCCCATGTGGATGGAAAGACTTCAGTACTGCATGAACAGCAGAAACATTAAGAAATTGTTTTGCTTGTTTTAAAACATGATTTTCATGTGGGAAATGAAATGATAAATTCACCAGAAGTTTTTTGAATGGCATGATCATTTGGCAATGGATGGGTTGACCAAAAAGCAGGGATTTTATAAGTTTCCATATGGTGCCTTTCAATGTAAGATACCCTTAATTTTGATTTATCGAGTGCAAATAGCAAAAGCGAAAAAGCAAGTCAAAAACCCACCATTTTCTTTCTCAATCCAGGCTCCTACACCTCTTTCTTCCTTTTAATCTTTCCAGATTGTTTGGGTCCTTTCATCACTGAGATGCCTTAAAATGAGTAGTTGCAAACAACAAAGCAGCATATGCTAATCGTAACATGATATAAAGCCTTGCTTGCTCTAACTAAGGTTTTGCTAACTTACTGGACAATGAGGAGTCCAATATCAACCTCCTGAAAATAGAATCCGTTGACAATCTCATCATCATTGTTGACCACAGGCAATGAAAATAGAATCTCTAACAATCCCATCATTGTTGTTGGCTATAGGCAATGCTGAATCCATGATGAGAAGCTCTGGTACTTCTCTAAAGAGTGCAAGGTTTTGTTCCGCTTCAGGTGGTCGCAAACTTTAACTAGAAAATTTTAACTCGCCTCAAACTCAAGTTGGACTTCGCATCGTCAGTCAGAAAAACACCTAGATGTTCAGCCATCTGAAAGGAGAACCAGTCATGTCTCTGTTGGCAAGGACCCACATCAGAAAAGGGGATGTAGACATGACATGAGGAAAATTCCTGATTGGAAAGTAAAAAATTGAAACTTCAGTTTGAAGATAGACAATAATGGAGGAAAATATGGAGATACAGTAACGTTCTCAAGCAAGTTTGCAATAAAAGCAAAGCAAAAAATTTTTAGTGGGAAACAGCAATCAATGACTGAAGGCTACCCAGTTTCCATCACAAATATTTCCAATATAAAGACTTCCATTATTCTCTAGTTGCAGTAACCAGAAGATCCAAATTTGTTCTGTAAAAGGTACGGACCCAATTACACCAGAACTGTCCCCAATTGCAATAAATATGTTCAATCCAAGACTTCCATTATTCTCTAGTTGCAGTAACCAGAAGATCTAAATTTGTTCTGTAGCAGGTACGGACCAATTACAACAGCACTGTCCCCAATTGCAATATACATGTTCAATCCAGAATTTAACTACAGTATGCCACCATAAAAAATTCAAATAACAATATGCAAGATCTAACTAATCTTAATGCATTTTGACTCTAAATTAAATTTAAAAATCTAGGCAATGATCTAAATAATTCAGTGGTCATCTCCTTTCACTGAAAGCAAGAGGTTTTAAATTTAAATCGCATTACATGTAAGTGGAATAAGATAAGAGATGCGAAATAATTGCCTCTCATTATTCAATCAAGATAAAAATAAAAATTAAAATTAAAATCTAAGTTCCATATATCATGTTAGTTCAGTAACAACCACGCATCCAATATTGGAATTATTGCCGTCTTAAATTCATTATTATTTTTTCTTTTCTAAAGGCTACATCATCATTAAACTCATCACTCAGATATGAATTCTACTAGCTTTACTTATCTATGCCAATGGCACAGGAAAAATTGGAACAAGAAATCAATTTTTAGTTAGGAAAATATCTATTCACTCCTCTTGCATGCATCATATCAGTAGTGACCTAATCTTCGTACTACAACTTTAAAGCATCTCTTTCAACTTTGGATATACCTAACAACAAAATTTTTCACATGGGTATGCTTGATACATAAGCATCGAAGTTTATTGTTAAAATGATTGCGAAAGAACTTTAGTCGTTAACTGATGAGGCTGAATCAAACTTTATTGGTAATCTGATCCAATTACAAACTTCTAGTGTTTCATCTATATAATTTGGTTCAGTGGTTACAAAAAGTTATGAAGCCTTACCTTACAAGCCATGCAACCGTGGCTACAAGGATTTATGTTTCCTCACATGTACCCTTGTATTCCATAGTTAGATATTCATCCCTGAGAAACTTCAGTCCAAACCACCTCTTGGTAGTTGCAAATCAACTACAATTAAATAATCCTCATTTAAAAATTTTCACCCCCTTATCTACCTTACATTCCCACTCATACTTACTATAAGATTCTCTCCTCATCATGGGTCCATTGCTCTGGCAAGATCTTTTGAGTGTTCTCAAGATATAGAGCAGGCTTGAATGTAACCATATTACTACTAGATTCGCATCTTGTAAACATCAATTTTTGGTATAGGCCTGCCAACCAAAAGTTATAATTAACATATGATAAAAGAAAATGTTAGCTAAGTGAAAATTACAAAAATGGATGATATGTAAAACTCCCTCAAAAAATTCAATACAAAAAAATACACAAGAATATTTCTCTATCCGAAAAACTAATTTTTAACTTTATAAACACAACACTAGTTCAGTGCCTAACATTGTTAAGAAAAGAAATGCTTAGGCAAAACACCATTCAAGATGCAAGGCTAGAATTTTCAAGAATTTCTTTTAAGTTCAGTAAAAGCTTTTCTGTTCAACATTTGACAAGTAATTTTCAAATTTTTTTGGTGATTGATTTGCTTAATGATATCAAACAAAGGATGGTACTCGTTTTAATTATGTTATTATGGTACTTAAGACTTGCCCTTCCTTCCCCCTCAAAAAATACAGAACTGATTTCCAAGAACTAAGCACCAATAGCAGTCAAATTAGAAATTGATTCATGCAGTGTTTTAATCAACCAAGATGAACTTAAATGCATTCAAACCATAGAATGCTTGAAACAATGTTCTATTCTACGGTATGTTAAAAAATTTTAAGTTTCAACTAAAACAACAACAACAAAATATCTGAAAGCAATCCATGGAAGTAAACATAATAAACTTTGGGCAACCCGTAACGGAATCCAAAAAGAAGGGCTTACCTTAAAGCCACATAAATTGTTGGGAGGGAACTGGGATTTAGTTCTTTCAAGGTTCTTAACTTTGAAGGGAGAGATTCTAATGTCATGGGAAGAATGGCAGAGAATCAAGGCAGTTTCCACAGCAGTTTGAAACAAAACAACCCTAAATATCATTGCAGAATTCTTTCACACTGAGACAGAAGGTGTCCACGCTCAACAAATTGTAACATAAGCTCATCCGCTTCTTCCAATTTTCCTTCTAATGTAAGTTTCTTACTCACCTTCCCACATAACTTCAAATCAGGAATAAGATTTCGATTGAACATATGACAAGCTACTTTATATGCCGCTAGAGGAACCCGTTTAGCACCCTGACACAATTTTTTCCTACTAAGGACTTCAAGCATTGCATAACACACAATTGGGTCACGACAGTAGCGCCACTGTCCATCAGCCTAATAGCAGAATATCAAAGCAACTCTTTCATCAGCTTTGCAAGCACCAAACAGCATGAACAAGGCGAGGTTTGAGACTTCTTAGAAGGTTCTTCAATTACCCGTCAAGCTATGGATTCCAAGCTGACCTAAATTCAACTAACCTGCAAACCTCTTTGACGAAAGGGTGTCTGAATTCATCCTCCAACTCAACTCTCCAGGCATTGTCTCTTTGCATCTTATGCCGTTAAAGGAACCCAACACTGCAAATTAATCATCAATATCACTACCACCCACACCCCTTCTTCTTCCTCTTCTTCATCTGACTCTTCAGACACATCACAGTCATCAAAGCTAGGGTTTTGATTCTTCTGACTACCAAGTAAGCTCAAATCCTCAGAACCCTTGATTCCCACCCCTCTAAATTTGTCACTCATACACTTTCTATCATCAAAATCATTTCTTTCTGCACCTTGCAATCTAAGGCCTAGACACATAGCCTGAATTGTAACCGGGGTTAAAATTACTTGTAGAAAACAATGAGAAAAATGCACAAACTCCAATACAGAGGCACTGAAAAATGTGGTTTGCGGGTTTAAAAGAGAGCACTTTTTGCAGCAAAACCAAGCAACCGCACAACAAGAACTACATGCATGAGAGACTGAAAAAACTTGAAATATTTGCAAGGTCTATTCAAAGTTTTCGAATTCTATGGCTAGATTGAAAGCAGAGTACATTTGAAGTACGGATGTTTATAACCGATCCGAATCGATTGATTCCACCTAATC